CACACACACACACACACACACACACACACACACACACAAAGCCCACAGTTTGGCCGGACGATCAATCTAATAATTTAGATTTCGTCACCAAAACTTCACTTTAACCTAAATCGCTACCTTAAAAATACAAAGATCTGTCCAACATTTTTTGTTTGTTTTCAGTTACATGTTTGTTTAGAAAGAGTTTTACGGCGGTCACACCTGTATAAAGTCATGTGAGCGCGCGAAACACATTAAGTTAGTTGCATTCTCACCAGTTCACAGAATGGCTTGGTTACTCAGACCTTGAGGTCAGACACCAAATGTAATGTTCTGTCTGCTCTAATAAAATCGTATGATTATTCCAAGTCGTTACCAAGATATTGAAATTGCATTTTTTGAAAAAAGCTTGACTTGTTGTGAAAACTAAAAGTTCTTAACGTCAAATTTCTCAAGACTAGGTGGTGAGCGGAAAGAAATTTGCAATTCTAGATAAGCGAAATATCTCCCTACGCAGTTGAACCTTATTATTTCTTAAAGACATTCCATGTACGTAAATTTCACGATTTCAGCGAGACTATAATAGATCTACAGGAAAACAGTAGTGTTGAGTGATTTGTTTTTGATTTAGATTATGATCTTAGCTCTACTTAGCACCAACAGGCTGGCCGACATTCAGTGAACCTTTTCATCTCTATCTAACTGCACTCTTTTCAGCAACACAAAGCTTTTAATTTCCTGTAGTCACACAGTATTTACAATAAAATGTCTCGTACATAATACGTTTAAAAGGGAATGCTTTGAAGCGGCAACAGTTTTCTGGTGGAATATTGCTTTGCTGTGCGCCACAAGTGTATCTTTGTTTTGTTTTGGGGTTTTTTCTTTTGTTTCTTTTAACGAAAACAAAACTGTTAAGCAGAGTAACTAGTAAAGGTTGACCCTGACAACTTAACTCAATGGACAGTTTGTTGTTTATCAGGGAAAACCCCCCAATTATTTCACAAGGCTATGTCTGAAAGCTCTACTGTTGTACTTAATTTCCTGTTCCTTCTTTCCTAGTTCTTTCATCTCTATAACTCTCTCACTCTCTCTCTCTCTCTCTCTCTCTCTCTCTCTCTCTCTCTCTCTCTCTCTCTTTTTTTCTCTCTGTTTATCTCTTTCTCCCAACCTCTT